TTACCTACTCGGTTCATACCATTTTTAAGATGTTAAAAAAGGTGAGTTCTACTAAAGTTATCTTATAAGCATTGGTTGCATATTTTACCTAATTTCTTCTCTGAGAGTAGGGATAGCTATCAGGCTTCTTTTTCTTATGCTTATAAGAATATATAACAGGATTCTCCTCCCTTTATGCTGAATATTACCTGTTTTGATATATTCCAAATTTTACTTTTCTTTTCACTGAGGCAGTAATTTTAAAAAATGATGATGATGATGATCTGCCTTATTATTTTTTTTTTTTTTTTTTTTTTTTTTTTTTTTTTGACGATCTCGCTTTGCCACTGAGTGCAGTGCAATTAGTACTGCAACTCGCTGTTCCATTCTCCTGCTCAGCTCCGATACTGGACACAGGCCCCACTGGCTAATTTTTTTTTTTAGTAAACTTCGCTGTTAGCAGATGTCCGATCTGACTGATCCCCTCGGCCCCAATCTGATTAATACAGCCCTATTAGTTATTTTTCTACCACGGCCTGTTCCAAGCCTTCCTGTTGTTATAGTCCATCCTCCTCTGTGCATCTTGTAAAAAGTCATGATTTTCTTCCTGGCTCCTTTCAACATCATCCCGCTCTTTCTTTAGACAATAACTGCCTATTTAGAGTTACAGACATAGAAGCTACAGCATCTGGAAAGTGTCCCTTCAAGTCCCTGAAATTTCTTTACTGACTGCTTACCTGTGAGATTCATCTTTACTGAACATGGAATAATTATTTATATAACAAAAACAGTCCAGGTCTGCCATGCTATTCCACAGGCAGTAGCTGCCAAAGAACTTAAAATGAGGGATGAATAAAGTGAATCAGAAGTATTTTCTTAGAACATCAGCTTGGAAACCCAACAGCTGTTGAGTAAATGTGCTGCTGTGGTGCCTTCATTAAAATGGAAAGGTTTTGTGATAGATAATACATTAACTGTGTTGCTTGTTTTCTTAGGCTCCAGGTTATGGAGACGTTAGGTTGTCTTTGGAGGCAATACCAGATACCGTAAACCTTGAAGAACCTTTTCATATTACCTGTAAAATAACAAACTGCAGGTAATGCCACTGTTTGTGGATGAATGTCCTTTCTACCTCACCTACCTAGAATAGAATTTTAAAATCTTTTTGTTACTGTCTCCTTTTAAGTTTTCCTCAACATATAGCCTTCTCTGATGTTGATATTGAGTACTGTAAAATTCTTCATCTGGTAGCAGTATAATTACATATTTTTAAGGGCCTATTGTATTATGCATCTTCTGTATTTTGTTTCGTTCATGTGTCACACGCTATGAGGTAGGTATTCATTGTTTATACTTCCTTCACCAAAACATGAACTAATAGGTTCTTATGTATTAATATATTATGAATTGAAGTAGTAAGATTTTTTGAGGCATACTTGTCCTTGAGCTATATCTTGAGTATTAAGAAACTAAACATTGCTTATGGATTTAATGTAAGGGGAAATCATTGATTCGAAAACAGGGTTTTGACAGTGAAGAGAGAGCATAATCTGAACTGTCAGGAAGCAAAGAGCACAGGGCTTTGAAACCAGAAAAAAAATAGAATTAAGTTCCAGTCCTATGCCCTCTGCTCCTACTTGTATTACCACTTGGTTTGTATTATTATTTGGGGTATTTTGATATTATTGCAGTGATGAATCTCAGCCCTCTTAGTGTGAATGCATAATCCTTTTAATTCCATATTTATTCTGACTTTTTTGTATTAGAAAGATAGGAAATATTTATCCTTCAAAATTACAGAAATACCCACTTCCTCTATGAAGCTACCCAGACTTTCCAAAGCACAGGTATTCATGCCTTCTCTATCATAGAAAATATTTACTTAGTTTTTTTAGTGACACTCATATATTGTGTATTTAGTGACACTCATATATTGCTATAAGTATTAGTCTCTTTCTCGCTCGATTGTGAATTATTCAAGAGAAAGGACATGGCCCTTAGTGTCTGCCACATCGTGAGCTCAGTAAACAACAATACAGGGCAAAGACCCTGTGCTTGTAGGGTGTTACAGGGTGTTGGGAAATTTTTCTTTTTTTTTTTTTAAGTTTTTTCAGCAAATCAGTTTATTGACCAGCTCACAAGTGTTATTTTTTTCAAAAGTTAACTTCTTTTGGTGTTCACTTTAACTTTTGGTGATTGAAATAAGTTTTCTAAAAAGCACATGTCTCTTATATCTTTAATTTCCTCTCTATATAAATGTCATTCCCTGCCCCTACACACCAGAGATGCACAGACACATGCACACAACATATATAAGTCTTACTGAATTTTTGTGAAATTAACAATATTCACGTAGTACATCTACCCTGGTCTCTGGCACATAGTAGCCATCTCAAATATTTGTTAGGGAGATACAGACATATACAAGTTAATATTATAAAGTCAATATGTCTAAAAAAAATAAAATTTAAATAAGCAATTTAAAATTTGGAGCCAAGTATAAGAATAAATAGCTGAAAGAGCCATAAGTAGCCATGAATGGTGGTAGGAGACTATTTTTCGTTATGAGTCTTTTGGTTATTTAAAAAAGAACAATATGCATACTTTCATTAAAAGTTGTTTTAACTTATTTAAGCTGAACCGGTGATATCTGTTATAAGCAGAAGTAGTCTTTTCTTGGTAAATAATCCAGTTAGCAAACCTGAATAGTATTTACGTCTTATGAATCCTGCCAGTTGTTTCCCAAGTTATGGTAAAGTAACATAGATTAAATATCAAAAGGACAAGACCAGAATCAGTTGTTTTCTTCTTTTCCTGTAGAGTACCTAACAGAAATAGAATACATGGCAACAAGATTAGTCACAAATGTGTGGAAGTCTCCCAGAAAAATGGCAGCACCAGATCAGCACCTGGAGGCCAGTGTTGAGTAATAGAACCAGAAGGCCAACATCAGACAGGCAGACTAGTCTGAGGCCGTTTTAAGTGCTAGAAGATGTGACTTCATCTTCCTGATTCTATTTTAGGTGACATATAAATGTTGTAATAGCTTTTCTCTTTCTGGTTTTTATTCTCCTCGATACGGAGAAAACAAGTTTACTGTCAATAGTAGAAATATTGCAGTACCTCTTTGTGAAATGAACAAGATTTATTCCTATTATTCTGATTCCTCCAGCAGTGAAAGGACTATGGATCTGGTTTTGGAAATGTGCAATACCAATTCCATCCACTGGTGTGGAATTTCAGGAAGACAGCTGGGAAAGCTGCATCCAAGTTCTTCGCTCTCTCTTGCCCTTACTCTGCTGTCTTCAGTACAGGGACTGCAAGTATGCTGTCTTTTCAAAAATTCCAATATTTGGGGGCTGTTAACTTACAAAAATTGGTTTTTCAATGCATCATTATTTATTGCCATAACAAATTGTTTGGTCCAAAATGAAAGCTATATTCAGAAGGTTTGCACCTCAAAATTGAGTAATAATTAATGAAATGTCTGTACAAAATAAAGTGCAAGCAGTGTAAAATTGAAGTCTTTGTTTCAAAAGTCATTTGTGATATTCATATTTCCTCTGAATGGATGAAAACTTAGACTCATCTTTCTCTCTCTCTCTCTCTCAATAGAGCATCTCTGGCTTAAGACTAACAGACACATTCTTAAAGAGAACATATGAATATGATGACATCGCACAAGTCTGTGTGGTATCTTCTGCCATTAAAGTGGAAAGCTGAAGGAAATTTCCAATGTTATGCTTTTCATTTAGTTTCACAGAACTGCTTTTTGTCACCTTTGTAAAATGATGACGTCAACAGCGAAGTAAATATGTTACTTCTTTCCTGTAAAATAGTTAAAATATTAAATATTTGTTTTGAAGAGATCTGATTTTATCTTGTAAGTTATGTTCGAAATGAACATGTGTAGATTTTCTACACCTATTTAATTTCATTTCATTTTAGATGACCACTGGACTTTGTTCTCCAAAAGCTGTGTATCTGAGACCATTTGTCCCTAGCCAGTATCTAGAACACAAGTCAGCAAACTTTTTATGTAAGGTACAAGACACTAAATATTTTAGGCTTTGCAGGCCATAAGGTTTCTGTCACAAATACTGAACTCTGCCATTGTACTGCAAGAGCAGCCAGTAGGCAAAAAAAGTACAGTGGTGTACATAAAAAGCAGCAGCTGGACTCAGGAAGCTGAGGCAGGAGAATCACTTGAACCCAGGAGGCGCAGGTGGCAGTAAGCTGAGATCATGCCACTGTACTCTAGCCTAAGCGACAGAGCAAGACTGTCTCAAAAAAAAAAAAAAAAAAAAAAAAGAGGCAGCTGGACAGATTTGGCCTGCAGGGTATAGTTGGCTGACCTCAATCTAGAAGAAAGAGTTGTTTCTTAGAACTTTGTAACATTTTGTTTAGAAATATTTCAGTTAACTCCAGTTTTCTTCCTAGCTATTCAGTCAGCAGAAAAAGTTTGCTTAAAACAAAGGGGGTAGTCCTCTTATAACCTGGTATTTGTTAACACAGTATAAGCTTTCTAATTGTTTTCAAAATTACTGTAATGGTTTGTGTCTGTATTTGTATATTATACCTACAAACATACATGTCTTTCAGCTACTGAACAGATCAGAATTGGTTTTACTTTTTAGGTTGTTGATTTTTTTCATTAACTATTAACTAAGAATAATACTTATTATAAGGCAAAAATTGCTGGGTTTTTTTCTCATTGATTAAGCCACTTATTTTTATATGGTATATTTAAATAATTTCTATCTTCTGATATGATTTTAAACTCTAAATCATGTGTTACTGTTATAAAACTTTCTACATGTGATCACAGTTATGAGCAAAGCAGTGAGAAAGTTGAGGTGATAAACAACTTTGCAGCATTAATGTAACAAAAAGTAAGTATTTTGTCAGGAAAACAAAAGCTTAGGCTGTTAAATAAAAGCTATTCTATTTTGGTAAGTTGAAATTCAAGAATGTATATATAATTTCTTAAATGTAAGAGTGCATTAAATCAAATACAAAAATTGGTTTTTCAATGCATCATTATTTATTGCCATAACAAATTGTTTGGTCCAAAATGAAAGCTATATTCAGAAGGTTTGCACCTCAAAATTGAGTAATAATTAATGAAATGTCCGTACAAAATAAAGTGCAAGCAGTGTAAAATTGAAGTCTGTCTTTGTTTCAAAATGATTAAGATTGATTAAATGATGAAATAATACTTTATGGCCACTGCACTGGATACTTGGATTGTTTTTCAAGCATCTTCTTATGACTGAATCTTCTGTTTCATTCTGTTTTAAATCTTAAAAGTAATATCATGGTCACTTGGAATCTGCTCTGTACTTTAATTATAGTCTCTTCTGTTATAAACAATAACGTGGACACATATTTTTCATAGTTTTAAGTAAAGATTAGATAATGCCATCTTAGAAAGGATCTGTTTAACCTATATTATAAAAGTTAGATACACAATTTGGTACATTAAATGAAAATGTCATTTGCATATATAGAACCTATTCTGTTTTACATAGTATCATAATAGCTACAGCTACTACAAGAAATGGAAGTCAAACATTTAGTAGGATGCTTAAAGAGTTAGTTTAATAATGTCTTCTTACTTTTCTAGTTAGATAGCAACTATATTTCCCAGACAAGCAAGAAAATATATGGGGCAGTTTTTATAAATTGAAAAGTAGCTAGCACAATCCAACCACGCAAAATTTTTTTGAAATAGCTTGCAATGCTGTGATTCCAAAGTGATCAAGGTACTTGAAGAGCAAAAATGGCTTGAATAGAATGGAAATGTAGGTAAGTGGACAGATAGCATCTGGATTGAATTTGTTACAGGTGGTATATTAGCAAAGAAACAAATAGAAAAGTGAAATGGAAGAAATATACCAATTTCCCATTATTTCATATAAAAAGAATGGCTAATTTACAGATGTTAGCACATGAAGACATTGTTCTAAAGTTTTTTTTCTTATAGTATCTTTGGGTAATACTAGTCAAATAAAATGAGTTGGGAAGTATTTTCTCCTCTTCTGTTTCCTGGAAGAGATTGTTAAGAATTGCTATTATTTCTCCCTTAAGTGTTTGGTAAAATTCATCATTGAAGTTATCTGGGCCTGTAGTTTTCTTTCCTGGAAGGTTTTTAACTTAACCACAAACTCAATTTCCTTAATAAATACAGGTCTGTTTAGGTTTTCTATTTCTTCAGTGAGATTTCTAGTTTGTATCCTATAGGGAATCTGTTTCATCTAAGTTGTTAAATATACAATCCTTGAGTTGGTCATGGTGTTTTCTAATTAGCCTTTTAATACCTATAGTGTCTGTAGTGTATCCCCTCTTTCATTTCTGACACTGTGAATTTGTATCTTCTGTTTTTCTAGGCAGTGAGCTAGAAGCTTATCTTATTGCTCTAAAAGCATTTTAAATGCACTCAAGATAGTTACGCTAGAAACTTTGACTTCTTATTCAACACTGAATATGGGTGACTAATTTTTAATTAAGAATCTATTTTGCTTTTTATATCACAGTAATGACTTCTATGTGTTAGTAGTACTACTTCGTTCTGTGTAATACTGGAATACTAGGAGATTATTCTAACTTAGTGAAAAACAAAGTTGGCTTAGATGGAATACGAATTTAACTTCTGAGGGCCGAAGACTTGAATTCTGCTTTTTTTTAAATTCTGCAGAACTATATATCTTCATACAGATCTTCACTGTAGCTTTAGCCAGGTGCTTAGGTGTTTGCAGGTCTAATTGAGAAACCTCTAACCTAGTGTTCCTCTAAGTTAGAGTCCCTGGATCTGTATCAAAACCACCTAGTGTACTGTTTAAAATGGCCATTCCTAGGCCTTATTACAGGACCTACTATAACAGAATTGAACACGTGGCCCTGAATCTGCATCTTTAATGAATTCTCCAGGTGAGTCTTACAATGAAGTTATAGAACTACTATTCTGATGTCACAAAGTAGAAAGAGAAAAGTTGGTTTTTAAACCTCAAGATACAAAATAATTAGTCTCTCTCTCTTTTTTTTTTTTTTTTTTTTTTTGAGATGGAGTCTTACTCTGTCACCTAGGCTGGAGTGCAGTGGCGCAATCTCGGCTCACTGCAACCTCCACCTCTCGGGTTCAAGTGATTGTCATGTTTCCGCCTCCCACGTAGCTGGGACTATAGGCACCTGCCACCAAGCCAGGCTAACTTTTGTATTTTCAGTAGAGGTGACGTTTCACCGTGTTGGCCAGGCTGGTCTCAAACTCCTGACCTCAGGTGATCCCCCCCGCCTCAGCCTCCCAAAGTGCTGCCATTACAGGCATTAAGCTACCGCGCCCAGCCGATTAGTCTTTTGATAAGGGTTCTATAAGGCCTAATCATCTGCATTATTACTAATTTAATTTTATATTGCTTCCTGGCCAGGCACAATGGCTCACACCTCTAATCCCAGCACTTTGAGGGGCCAAAATGGGCATATCACTTGAGGTCAGGAGTTTGAGACCAGCCTGGCCAATATAGTGAAACCCTGTCTCCATTAAAAACAAAAATTAGCGGCCAGGCACAGTGGCTCACGCCCGTAATCCCAACATTGGGGAAGCCAAGGCAGGCGGATCACAAGGTCTAGAGATAGAGACCATCCTGGCCAACATAGTGAAACTCCGTCTCTACTAAAAATACAAAAATTAGCTGGGCGTGGTGGCGTGTCCCTGTAATCCCAGCTACTTGGGAGGTTGAGGCAGGAAAATCACTTGAACCCGGGAGGCAGAGGTTGCAGTGAGTCAAGATTGTGCCACTGCACTCCAGCCTGGCGACAGAGTGAGACTCCATCTCAAAAAAAAAAGAAAAATTAGCTGGGCATGGCGGTGGGCACCTATAATCCCAGCTACTTGGGAGGTTGAGGCTCGAGAATCGCTTGAATCCAGGAGATGGAAGTTGCAGTGAGCTGAGATTGCAACACTGCACTCAAGCCTGGCAAAAGAGTAAGACTCCATCTCAAAAAAACCTCACAAAATTTATATTACTTCCTTTTTCAGTTTTCCCTTGTAAAACTTGTGAAGTCATTACATGTCAGCACCAATTTCATGATTAATAAAAAATATACTCTAGTTGGAATTAAACTCTCATCATCAATGTAGTTAGACCCATGCTATTTATGCCTAATGCCCCTTTTCTCCACTAACTAATATGGCATCTCATTTATAATAAAATATTTTAAGTCTCCTGTTATATTTAAATTGCATCAAATTTAAATTATGTTAACTATAAGACTGGCATGCCAAGCCAAATTATCACAGAAGCTTACATGAACAAGCAATGTTAGTGATAGATGCTTTTTGTTATCCATCAAATAATTACTAAGTTTTCTTTTTTAAAAAAATCAGTGTTTATGGGCACACAATTAAATACCATTTAGAACATCCTTAACTTAGGACCAGGTCACTGGCTTAGTTAAAATATGTTTATATTTGATAGTTTCCAAGGTAAGGTTACCACTGGGGAAATTGTGATAATTAAGTCATACAGTTATATCACTGACCTAACCAGTACATTAAGGATTTCTAAATGTATCTTATTGTGTGTTTAGCGTAAGTGGCCATGCTAATGTTATCAATACCAAACTGCAGACAAGATTAGTTAAGAACTATGCAGAAAACCTGAGCATCCTACCTTTACTTTCTGTACATTCACATTACCAATTTTTTCTTTTCAAAACATCCCTTGCATCAAGTGCTACTTTCTAACAGCTCTTAAGATTCTCTGTTCACCAGAACAAACAACATTAAAGATCATATTGGTTCCCATGTTATATATTCATTACTGATAGCACTTATCAAAGCTAAATGTAGATAATATTCCTTCTTTCCTGACATACTGCTCAGTGGCAAGTACACTTCTCAACCAGCATAGGAAACCTTTCCTTTGGGTCATTTCCCCTCTCAAAAAACTGCTTAAAGGAAATTGGAGCTAAAGAGCTTACCAACAAATAGTCCTACTAGAGTTCAATAAATATACTTTGCTATTAAGTCTAATATACAAATATGATAGAAGTTTGAAAATGGAACCTTATCCCAGTGCTATATTGGCACTCAACAAGGCTAGTGATCACTTCCAAAGGAGTCATGTTATGTTTTGAGTTTGTCTGTGATAAACCTATTGTCTAAACGGATTTATTCTTTAAGAATATACATAAGAGGTTTTCCTCCATTATTTTCACACATCAGATATGTTGTTTGGTTTTTTGAACGAGGAAGGGGACTATCTACAACAAATACTTCATTCATAGCCATAACCCATTTGTATCTTGGGCTTGAGCCCCGGGTCAAATCAGGAATGCTCTTCAGCGCTGCTGCTGAATGATCTGCTCCGGATGTGATTTCTCAGTTGCTCTATAAGTTCAGGATTTTGTTGCTGTATCTGCTGAGCAAACTGCTGTCCCCTGTAGTAAAGAGGCAATGTGGTTTGAATAGGGAATTGCCAGTCACATTTACCCATGCAAAAAGAACTGCAGAAAATGTGGGAGCTACCTAAAGGGGGCTTTTTTCTACAAAAGTTTTAGAGCCACGTCTTTAGTATCTACAAGTTTACCAATGCCTCCATATCGCATTATTACAATGCAGTGTTCTTTACAAGAAACAAAACACCCATGCTAAAAAAAATAAGTACCTCAATTGGGTGAAATCTGCTTCTCTAGTGCTAATGACAAAGAAGCAAAGGGCTAAGAAGTGTATGTTTTTATTGCATGTGCTAAAATATAATGCTTTTATACGCAAGTCAATAGTCTCATATAACACCCAGTTTGGGATGCTTTTGGAGGTCACCTAACAAGTAATTTTAAAAACACTAAGAAGTTTAACACAAATTGTAATGTGTGACCCTCTATTGCCAGTGTTAGATATTATTATACACCATTTCAAGGTCATTCTAAAAACGCAATATTCTAAGTGGATACATGGTTGTGCTGACAAACAACAAATGGTACTATGGCTTCATATAAAGTGTCCAGCGAGAGCATCAGACACAGATTCAAAAAGCAAAGTTATCTTCACCAATCTGATACAAGTGGAGGCAATATGCTCAAGTAACGAGAAGATGCAAGTAGTTCCTCTAAGTGCTGACAGGCACTGAAAAAATTTGAATACAAGTTTCCTGAATTGCCTGAACATTAAAGTATGTAACATGTGATTTTAAACTATGTATGTGTACCTAAATTGATATATATTTTAACAGGATATTTGACCCTCATCTGCATCCCTGAGTAGTTTGAAGTCTGCTGAAAAACTTGGATCTTCATTGGGAAAAAATGGGGGATTAGTAGCTTTATATATATATGAGATCACAATTTATTTGGACATACGATTTTTACCGTTTGTCTCCATACCCTCAAAGTACCAGGGCACCAATCCTTGGGACCTTCTGTAAGCAAAGATATAGTATTGATACCCCCACTTAAAAACCAATGACCCTAATTTCACACTGACAATACAATCAAGTAAAATTAAAATTAGGCTGCAAATGAAAAAGATTGACTGTGCTATCGGTTCCTTAGCAAGTCAGTAACCTGTACCTCAGTTTCTCTAGCCATTGGGTAGGGATATAAATTATCTACTTTTGTAATATCTGTCCCTCACCTGCCTTATTGAGATGGTACCAAAAAAGAAAAAGAAGCAAGAGATTCTGCTGGTACCTGAAAGTCCCAAAAAATAAAGCATAATGAATGGGGGGGGGGGAAGGCATAATAAACATGATTCTTTTTCTCAACAGACAGGACTGGCCAAACTATCTAGGTATGGATTCCTGCCCTGCAGTCTAAAAAGTGGTTCTAATTCATGAACTTCTTTCAGATTTAGTAACAGTAAGGAGGCCAAAGTTACTAACGGTAAAAGATAAAAAGAAAGCCCTGACCCCTCACCATAGAGATAAGCTGTAAAACATAAAATACATCTTCGTTATTTCTGTTTTAAATAATACTTACGCTTGGATGAGGCTTGACAGGTCAGTTAGGCCCCCAACTCCAGCAGCAGGTCCCCCAATGGCATTTGTCATCATTCCTGACATTCTAGAGTATACAAGAAATACATCACTGGGATTGGTATATATTCTTAACAAATAGGACAACTGGACGAGGAAAACTTAATAAAATATACCCATGTTATACCAGTAGCTAAGCCAAATGTATGTGGCTTTAAGCTCCAACTGACTGTCATTCAGAACAGTTTCATCATTTTTGAGCTAATGTGCTCAAATTAGGAGCCTGGCAAGTAGAAGGTGGGGGAAGTGTAATAAGCTCTTTCTATATACTTACAGCTGTTGAACTTGAGGGTTCTGCATTAAACTTGCTGCCTGAAATTGAAAAATAGCACCTCCCATTAAAGGCAGTTAATATGTAGGGATCTTTAACAAAGATTTTTTTTTTAGAAGAACGAAAGGTAAACCATGTATGCACTAACATTTTGTAGAGTTTCAGTGTGCTATGCAAAGTAAATGGGAATGTAAAAAGAGAGAAGGTATGAGAAAAAATGGCATTAAGAAGACACAGTGAGGATAAAGAGATTACAAACAACACTGTAAACTGAGGATGTTGACAGCAGTTTACCTCCTACTACTGATCAGACCAATTAAGCCAAAAGGAAAAATAGGAACTTATAGTTAAGGGGTCTCCTACACTTGAGAAGGTCCATTCCAAACGAGCTCTTAAGAGATGTGACTTTGCTCCATGGGGCCCAGCAGTTTCAATGCTTCCCATGCTTACAGTGGCACAGGGGATTATATTTATGTGCACACACACTTTTAAAACATTCTATTTTGAAAGCATGGTAACGCTTTCAAATTTTTTTTTCCCTTCAAATTGGTAATGTCAACAATATTCATGTAAAATTTGAATGTAGTCTAAATCTTTGTAGACAATAGATTTTATTCACAGACTCTCTATGAGGTGTTGGGAAAAGCCACCACTTGCTTCTATTACCAGAAAGATCACTGACTGATTCGTAAGTAATTCAAAACTTTCCTCAAGTCCCAGTCAGGATGGGTGCCTCTGAGCCAACCCATAAGTGCTAAAGGCATTACACAGGAAAAGCGGGATGGATGAGCTATAAACATGAAACGCTGGTTTTGCAATCCCTTTAAACTAGTTCTGCAACAATAGTTCTTCCCCTTCTCCCAGAATCTAGGACCTAGAAGAAATTTAGAATAGATCTCTGGCTTTTCCGGTCACTTTTCAATAAGCAGTCCTCCCGTCACTTTAAGTTCTATAAAATGACCTCCAGTTCAGCAATTAATGTCTCAGTGTAACAACGAAATACATAAAGCTTCATTTATAGGTAAAACTTCTCCCTTCCTAGCATGGGCCTGCTACAGATTGACCAGTTGTAGTAGAAAAGAGGGACCATTGACTGCTCTGTTTCCTATAGTAGGGGTCCCCAACCCCTGGGTCACGGACTGTTAGGAACCAGGCTGCACAGCAGCAAGTTAGCGGTGGGCGAGCAAGCACTACTGCCTGAGCTCCACCTCCTGTCAGATCAGCTGCAGCATCAGATTCTCATAGGAGCAAGAACCCTATTGTGAACTGCGCATGTGAGGGATCTAGGTTGAGTGCTCCTCAAGAGAATCTAACAATTCTCCCCGTCCTGCCTCTACCCCCTACCCCCGGTATGGTCCATGGAAAAATTGTCTTCCATGAAACCAGTCCCTGTTACAAAAAGGTTGGGGACTGCTGTCCTACAGTGCTTTTTTTTTGGAGATGGAGTTTCACTCTGTCACCCAGGCTGGAGTGCAATGGCATGACCTCAGCTCACTGCAGCCTCTGCCTTCCCGGAGTCAAGTGATTCTCCTGCCTCAGCCTCCCAAGTAGCTGGGATTACAGGCGTGCACCACCATGCCCAGCTAATTTTTCTATTTTCAGTAGAGACGGGGTTTCGCCAGGTTGGCCAGGCTGGTCTGGAACTCCTGACCTCAAGTGATCCGCCCATCTCAGCCTCCCAAAGTGCTGGGATTACAGGTGTGAGCCACCACACCAAGGCCTATAGTCCTTCTTTATCCTGTAGTGCTTCCAGTCCTCTTCCCCCAGCTTGCTGATTAAGAGTTGTGGCCCTCCAGGGTGAGGGTTAAATGGAGGGAAAGGTGAAAGGAGCAGCAAAGTTCTTATTTGATGACTGGTATTATCTTACTAGTTTTGCATTGGTGCTCTTTGAGTTTGCAAGGTATTCAAAAACTATGTGGTTCTCTTATGGGGTACTTTCTGGTGTTCTTCAGACACTTCTGCTTTCCCTAGGCCCCTGGAGATTTTTTATCTATTCTTTGAAAAGGGTAATTTACCCTCTGGATGAATGCTATGACTTTCCCTTCAGTCTCAGGTTCTTGGCAGTCCTCCAGAGATTCTCTGTCTTGGGAACCTATCACACTTCCAGGAAAGCCTCTTGGATATATTCAGACACCCTCTCTCACAACTGTGTGTGCTCACCTCTGCTCCACTCTCATCAGTATAGTAACTGCCCAAACCACACAGCTAATTCTGCCACTGGCTTTCCAGCTGAACCATCGGGTAGAAAGTCTCCGTACCAGAAACGCCCTTTCTCAGCGAGGGCTTGAGATGAGAGCAAGCCTCCCTAATTCCTTCATCTAGGGAGCCCTAGAACTCTAATAGCTCTCTCCAAAAATCTTGTTTAAATTTCCATCAACTTTGCCTTTTTTACGAGTCACAAAACATGTTTTTTATCCCCATCTTTTGCAACTCCTACATGGTGGTCTCACACCTTATTTTGGTACATAGCAGCTTGGAGCCTAAGCCAAACCTGAAACTAAAAGAATTCCATTTTTCACATCCTGTTACAATACCATAACCTGAGTCCTGGAATGGGTAACTATGCTTCAAAAAAAAAAAAAAATGAAGTCACAAGATCTACAAAATATGTATTTGCTAGCATGGTAAGAAGGCTGAAATTTGATGAGGGAAAAATAAAAACTACCAATTGCTAAAAAGACTTATCCCACTGGGAATGAGTCATCTGTGCATTTCAGTTCAACAGAAGATTTAATGGATGCAAGACACATTTTTTTGAAGGAAACAGAAGATGAATAAAAACGGATTCCTGCCTTCCAAGGGCATATCATATGATAGAATAATTCTCATCCAAAGTATACAGTCACCCCAGGAACTTGATATGCCCTGGGAACATCCTAAACCCACTAAATGAAAGTTACCACATACTGAACCAGAGCATGTATGTTCTCAAAAAGGCCCAGACATTATTTTGTTGGTTTGTAAGAATAGAGGACATACATATGAGATATCAAACTCTAAAGATAAAAACAAGGCAGACAATGCTGAGGGGCAAGCCTAGGGAACCGCAATGGCCAAATACTCAAACTGTAGATGTTAGATATCTTCCTAGGACCACTTTTATGTAAGAGAGTAGTTTTTAACCTTTCATATATTGGCAGATTGCTGTACCAATCTCACGAAAAATAAGATGCTCTCCTGGAAAAACGCACATATACACATGTACACAGATTTTTATGTACAAATTTGGGAAAATCCATGAGCTTCCTGAAGTCCATCCATGGCTTTCCCACAGGAGGTACATGGACAAGTTAAGAACGCTGCCATTCAGCCAGAGAGAAAGGCCAGACCACCGACAAAGGAAGCCCATCAGACTAACAGCGGGTCTCTGAGCAGAAACCCTATAAGCCAGAAGAGATTGGGGGCCAATATTCAACGTTCTTAAAAGAATTTCCAACCCAGAATTTCATATCTGGTCACACTAAGCTTCATAAGCAAAGGAGAAATAAGATCCTTTTCAGACAAGCAAATGCTGAGGGAACTCGTTACTAACAGACCTGCCTTACACGAGTTCCTAAAGGAAGCACTAAACATGGAAAGCAAAAACTGTTACCAGCCACTACAAAAGCACACTGAAGTACACAGACTAGGGACACTGTGAAGCAACCATGTAAGTTTGCAAAATAACCAGCTAGCATCATGATGATAGGATCAAATTTACACATAACAATATTAACCTTAAATGTAAATGGGCTAAATGCCCCAATCAAAAGACATAGAATGGCAAGCCAGATAAAAAAACAATATCCATCAGTGAGCTGTATTCAAGAGACCCACTATACATACAAAGACACACATAAGCTCAAAATACAGGGATGAAGGAAAATTTACCAAGCAAATGGAAAACAGAAAAAAGCAGTGGTTACAATCCTAGTTTCCGACAAAACAGACTTTAAATCAAAGAAGATCAAAAAAGACAAAGAAGGAAGCAGAGGTTGTAGTGAGCTGAGATCGTGCCACTGTACTCCAGCCTGGGTGACAGAGCAAAACTCTGTCTCAAGGAAAAAAAAAAAAAGACAAAGAAGGGCATTACATAATGGTAAAGGGTTCAATTCAACAAGAAGGGCTAACTATCTTAAATATATATGCTCCAATACGGGACCACCCAGATTCACAAAGCAAGTACTTCGAGAGCCTCAAAGAGACTAGACGCCCACACAATAATACTGGGAGACTTTAACACTCTGCTGACAATATTAGACAGATCATCAAGACAGAAAACTAACAAAGATATTCAAACCTGAACTCAGCTCTGGATCAAGTGGACCTGATATCTACAGAACTCTCCACCCACCCAAAAACAACAGAATACACATTCTTCTTATCACAACACAGCACTCAATTCACTCAAAACCACACAACTACATGGAAATTGAACAACCTGCTCCTGAATGACTTTGGGTAAATAACGAAATTAAGGCAGAAATCAAGAAGTTCTTTGAAACTAATGAGAACAAAGAAACAATATACCAGAATCTCAGACACAGCTAAAACAGTGTTAAGAAAGAAATTTATAGCACTAAATGCCCAAATCAAAAAGCTAGAAAGATCTCCAGTTGACAACTTAACATCACAACTAAAAGAACTAGAGAAACAAGAACAAACAAACCCCAAAGCTAGCAGAAGACAAGAAATAACCAAGATCAGAGCTGAACTGAAGGAGAGAGAAACACAAAAAACCCTTCAAAAAAAAAAAAATCAATGAATCCAGAAGCTAGTTTTTTGAAAAAATTAATAAACTATAGCTAGCTATACTAATGAAAAGAAAAGAGAGAAGATTCAAACAAACACAATAAAAAATGGTAAGGTGGATATTACCACTGACCCCACAGAAACACAAACAACCATCAAAGAATACTATAAACAGTTCTATGCACATAAACTAGAAATTTTACTAATCAGTTTCTAGAAGAACTTCATAAATTCCTGGACACATACACCCTCCCAAGACTGAACCAGGAAGAAACTGAATCCCTGAACAAACCAATAATGAGTTCTGAAATTAAGGCACTAATAAATAGCCTACCAACCCAAAAAAAAAAAAAAAAAGTCCACGACCAGATGAATTCACAGCTAAATTCTACCAGAGGTAGAATTTAAGAGCTGGTACCATTCCTACAGAAACTATTCTAAAAAATTGAAAAGGAGGATCTCCTCCCTAACTCATTCTATGAGGCCAACATCAACCTGATACCAAAACCTGGCAGAGATATAACAACAAAAAAGAAAACTTCAGGCCAGTATCCTTGATGAACATTGATACAAAAATCCTCAGCAAAATACTGGCAAAACAAATCCAAGCAGCATATCAAAAAGCTTATCCACCACAATCAAGGAGGCTTCATCCCCAAGATGCAAGGCTGTTTCTACATATGCAAATCAATAAATGTGATTCATCTCATAAACAGAACTAAAGACAAAAACCCCATGATTATCTCAATAGACGCAGAAAAGGCCTTCAATAAAATTCAACATCCTTTCATGTAAAAAATTCTCAATAAACTAGATATCAAAGGAACACACCTCAAAATAATAAAAGCCATATATGACAATATCATACTGAATGAGCAAAAGCTGAAAGTATTCCCCTTGGAAACCAGCACAAGACGAGAATATCCTCTCTCACCATTCCTATTCAACATATTAATAGTATTGGAAGTTTTGGGCAGGGAAATCAAGCATGATAAAGAAATAAAGGGTATTCAAATAGTAAGAGAGGAAGGCAAACTATCCCTATATGCAGATGACATGATCCTTTATCTAGAAAACCCTATTGTCTCAGTGGAGAAGTTTCTTAAGCTGATAAGCAACTTCAGCACAGTCTTAGGATACAAAATTAATGTGCAAAAATCGCTAGCATTCCTACATACCAACAGGTAAGTCAAAAGTCAAATCACAAATGAACTCCCATTCACAATTGCCACAAAAAGAATAAGATACCTAGGAATACAGCTAACAGGCGAAGTGAAGGAACTCTTCAAGGAGAACTACAAACCGCTGCTCAAGGAAATAAGAGAGGACAGAAACAACTGGAAAAACATTCCATGCTCATGGATAAGAAGAATCAATATCATGAAAATGGCCATATTGCCCAAAGCAATTTACAGACTCAATGCTATTCCCATAAAACTACCCTTAACATTCTTCACAGAATTAGAAAAAACTATTTTAAAATTCATATGGAAGCAAAAAAGAGCCCAAAGAGCCAAGGCAATCCTAAGCGAAAAGAACAAAGCTGAGGCATCACGCTACCCAATTTCAAACTATATTACAGGGCTACAATAACCAAAACAGTGTGGTACTGGTACAAGAACAGACACACAGACCAGTGGAACAGAACAGAGAACCCAAAAATAAGACTGCACACCCACAACCATCTGATCTTTGACAAACCTGGCAAAAGCAATGGGGAAAGGATTCCCTATTAAATAAGTGGTGCCGAGAGAACTGGCTAGCCAAATGGAGAAAATTGAAACTGGACCCCTTTGCTATACTATATATATACAAAAATCAACTCAAGATGGATTCAAGACTTAAATGTACAACCCAAAAATTATAAAAACTCTATAAACCTAGGCAATATCATTCAGGACATAGGCACAGGCAAAGATTTCATGATGAAGATGCCAGAAGCAATTGCAACAAAAGAAAAAATTGACAAATGGGATCTAATTAAACTAAAGAGTTTCTTTTCCACACCAAAAGAAACAATCAACACAGTAAACAGACAATCTACAGAATGGGAGAACACTTTTGCAATCTATCTATCTGACAAAGGTCTAATATACTGTATCTATAAACAAACAAATTTACAAGAAAAAAACAACCCCATTATAAAGTGGGCAAAGGAAATGAACAGACACTTCTCAAAATAAGACATATATGTGGCCAATAAACATGAAAAAACAGCTCAACATCATTGATCATTAGAGAAATGCAAATCAAAACCACAATGAGATACCATCCCACACAAGTCAGAACAACTATTATTAAAAACTCAAAAATAGGCCAGGTGTGGTGGCTCCTGCCTGTAATCCCAGCACTTGGGGAGGCTGAGGTGGGCGGATCACCGGAGGTCAGGAGTTTGACCAGCCTGGTCAACATGGTGAAACTCCATCTCTACTGAAAATACAAGAATTAGCCAGGTGTGGTTGTGGGTACCTATAATCCCAGCTACTCAGGAGGCTGAGGCAGGAGATTTGCTTGAACGTAGGAGGTGGAGGCTGCAGTGAGCCAAGATCCCACCATTGTACTCCAGACTGGGTGATGAGAGTGAAACTCCGTCTCAAAAAACAAACAACAACAACAACAACAACAAAAACAGATGCTGGTGAAGTTGTGGAGAAAAAGGAATGCTTTAATACTGTTGGTGGAAATGTAAATTAGTTCAACCATTGTGGAAGACAGTGTGGTGATTCCTCAAAGACCTAGAAGCAGAAATACCATTCGACCCAGCAATCCCATTACTGGGTATACACCCGAAGGAACAGAAATCATTCTAACAGAACAAATACACATGCATACGTATGTTCACTGCAGCACTATTCACAATAGCAAAGACATGGAATCAACCCAAATGCCCATCAATGATAGACTGGATAAAGGCAATGCGGTACATACACACCATGGAATACTATGCAGCCATAACAAGAAACAAGATCACGTCTCTCGCAGGGACATGGATGGAGCTGGAGGCCATTTTACCATTTTACTTCACAAAGTAACACAGGAAAAGAAAACCAAATAACACATGTTCTCACTTACAAGTGGGAGCCAAATGATGAGAACACAATGACACACGTAAGGGAACAACACACACTGGGCCTGTTGGAGGGCAGGGGATGGGAGGAGAGAAAGGACCAGGAAGAATAGCTAATGGATGCTGGGCTTACTACCTGGGTAATGGAAGGATCTGTGCAGCAAACTACCACGGCACACATTTTACCTATGTAACAAACTTGCACATCCCACACAAGTACCCCTGCACTTTGAAATAAAAGTTGGAAATTTAAAAAAAAAAAACCCTGCTATAGCCTTATATCAACACTCCACTACAACTACAACCACAAAATCTCACTTACTTGTTTCTAAAAAAAAAATTGCATAGCTACATAGCTCTAAGGAAAACAAGGCCAGTAGAGGCAGAAAAGAAAGTATACTTACCATACTAATGAAGGCTGGATTGTTTATCAAGCTAGCCATGTCAAAGCTCAGTCCAGTTCCTGTCTGTAAAACAATTATATCTGAGAATCAGTCCAACAACTACAATTACAATAACTTGTGAGTGACAGAAAATACTTCACTCATTTGGCATTAACAACTTACAGGACTGGATACCTCTCTTAACTTCTGTTCTGCTATTTTCAGATTTGACTTATAGGAATCATTTTCAGGGTCAAGATCTAATGCCTTTTGATAACTTGTAACTGCTTCTTCAAATTTATTCATGGCAGTGAGGGCCAGCCTGAAGGGAATACAGAGTACAAGAATATGAGATACATGATTAAAGAACATCAGGAAATCACAAACATCGTCAAACGTCTGTCTTTCTTGGTATTCAATTCTAATCCAGATTACACTTAATTTATTCACTGTACTATGGCTCACAGGAGTAAAATTCCCTCCAACTTAAGATTCTATACATTTGAACTCTCGCCATTCTGCTTGCTGACAACCTGGTTGTCCTATAGATCATGAATTTAATGCTAGAGATTATCTTACTTATTCTAGCATTTTTTAAGCCTAATATGTAAAATAATTTGCTTTATAAATGCCTAGAGTAAGTTCCAAAAGATGTGAGCTGACAATCCTGTGGTCACAAAAATCCATGATGCTAACACCATTTTTAAGGACTCTAAACTGTATTTGTGCTTCAAAATAGCCCACATGCTTTCTTCTTCCTAACAGAGCAACAATACATATCAATTTGCCATTAGGAAAACAGGCTGTAGTTATCAGATAACTATTCCTGATCAAAAGAGGTAGGTAAAATTAGCATCCTTTACAACTCAAATGACAAATTATACCAGGCACAAGTCAAAGAGTTATTAAATTTTAATGTTCATATTTACCTAGTTATAATTCACTTATTGAAAAATTATTACAGAACTAAACAATAACTGTATATATGGTGAGATGGTATTAGGGGTTTCTGTTTGTTATAGGTTTGTTTTAAACAAATTACTATTTTCTTTTCTCTTTTTCTCTTTATCGGAACCTAATTCATTTTCTACCAGTCAACCATGTATGATACTTTATCAGAGTCCCCAGTTAATCAAAAGTCAGTAACTATTTATTGAAACTCTATGATATATAAGAATATTATTAAAATAATATCTAAAGATACAGAGGATCCTGGCTATGCGCAGTGGCCCATGTCTCTAATCCCAGCAGCACTTTGGGAAGCCAAGGTGGGTGGATCACTTGAGGTCAGGAGTTTGAGACCAGCCTGGCCAATATGGTGAAACCCTGTCTCTACTAAAACTACAAAAATTAGCCAGGCATGGTGGCAGATGCCTGTAATCCCAGCTACTAGGGAGGCTGAGGCAAGAGAATTGCTTGAACCCAGGAGGTGGAGGTTGCAGTGGGCCAATTTAGAGCCATTGCATTCCAACCTGGGTGACAGACTGAGACTCTGTCTCAAAAAAAAAAAAAAAAGTGTCTAAAGATACCAAGGATTCCACAATGAAAAAGATAAAGTTCCTAGCCCAGGCATAGAGGCTCATGCCTATAATCCCAGCACTTTGGGAAGCTGAGGCAGGTGGATCACTTAAGGTCAGGAGTTTGAGACAGGCCTGACAAACATGGTGAAACCCTGTCTCTACTAAATACAAAAAATTAGCCAGGCATGGTGGCACATGCCTGTAATCCCAGCTTCTTGGGAGACTGAGGCAGCAGAATTGCTTGAACCCAGGAGGTGGATGTTGCTCTGAGCCAAGATTGCACCATTGCACTCCAGCCTGGAAAACAAGAGTGAAACTCTATCTCAAAAAAAAAAAAAAAGATAAAGTTTCCTGACTTTAAGAAAATTTCATTCTACCTGGGGAAGACAGGCAACCAGGCAACAAGCAAGAAAATAAAAAGGGCAATATTGAAGAGAATGAATAGGAGAGCTGCTCAAAAAGTAGCCACATTGGAAAGATCTCAGGGATGTAAAGAAAGTAGTCATGAAAATATGGGAGGAGCATTATAGTGGAAACAGCAGTAAACAGAAAGGTCCTGAGAAAGATGCAAGCTTGGTATTCTTAAGGTACAGGACAAGGGCTGATGAGGAGGGAACAAAGAAAACAAAGCACAGAGAGGTGATGTCAGAGAACAGTTGGGTGCCAGATGATACAGGTCCATTGCTTGGAGTTTGAACTTTATTCTGGTTGCAATGGAGTCACGTGATATAATTTGTGCTTTTGAAAGCTCACTCTGGCTTCTACGTAGAGGATCTACATGGGCAGAAGTGTAGAAAGGAGGCAGAGAGATCAGTTAGGAAGCTATTGCAGTAGCTTAGGTAAGAGATGTAGTTTGGACTAGGGCTATATGCAAGATAGTGATCAACACTTGGATTCAAGATATATATGGAAACTAAAATTGACAGGACTTGCTGATAGAGTATCAGTACTTATGTCAGGTGTAATAACAATGAAGGATGACTCAGGCTTTTGACTTGTGCATGGGAGAGATAAATAATTGTACAATGTATTGCGATTGGAAAGATTTTGGAAGGGAACATGAGTTCTGTCTGGGACATGTTAAGTTTAAAATACCTATTAAGCATCCAATCAGAGAGTTGAAAAGTAGTTGAACATATGAGTATGGAGTTCAAACAATATAACTTAGATTCAATAATATATATAGTTGATTCTTATTCACAGTAGTCCTGTTCTATAAAGTCACCACGAACAATGAATTAGCAAATAACTGAACAATTGTTCCTAGGGAAAATACAGAGTTAGGTTCCTGCAAATATGTAAATAGTCATATTTTCATCAATTGATCAATATATAATCTTGTTTTTATGTGTGTTTCTGATTAAAGAAACTTTATTTAATGTATATTTTTTATTCATTAGCATTGAACTCATAGCCAATGGCACTAACTCATGCCTGAATGAAGCTTGTCTCATAAACGTATTTTCTCCATAAGGCACATTACAATCCTCTTGCACTTAGGAACACTGGATAACACTTCAGGCTATACTTGGGGGCCACTGTAAACAGCTAAATCACAAATAAAAGGCACAAAAAAAACCAAAAACGTAGCACTAAATAGACTATTTCAGCATGAGAGTTGAAACAAAAAGGTAGAGCAGCACCTTATTCACCCTCAGCTGAGATCGGGACCATCAGAAGACACATTTTCACTAATTGTGCATGCCATGAATGACCACAGAAGCAGTGTAAATATTGATTTGGAGATTACAAATCAATTAGCAAGTAGGCAAATTCATAAATACAGAATCTGCAAATAATGAGTAGCAACTGTATATGAATTTTAAAAGCATGGAGCAGGATAAGCTGAGCAGAGAGAATAGACAGAGAAACAGCAGCAGCAGAGGATGCAACCCTAAAATACAGCATTGTTTAGAGATGGTAGAGAGGAAGAACAAGCAAGGGAGGCTGGAAAAGAGCATCCAGTAATGTGGAAGGGGAAACAGGGCAAGTGTGCCATCAGGATCCTAGAGAGTAATGTATTTTGACAATAAGTTAATAGCGACCGGGCATGGTGGCTCACGCCTGTAATCCCAGCACTTTGGGAGGCAGAGGTGGGTGGATCACCTGAGGTCAGGAGTTCGTGACCATCCTGGCCAACATGGTGAAACCCCATCTCTACTAAAAATACAAAAACTAGCCAGGTGTGGTGGTGGGCGCCTATAATCCCAGATATTCAGGAGGCTGAGGCAGAAGAATCACTTGAACCCAAGAGGAGGAGGTTGCAGTGAGCCAAGATTGCACCACTGCACTCCACCCTGGACAACAAGAGCGAAACTCCATCTCTAAATAAATAAATCAATAAATAAATCAATAAGTTGGCTTATGAAAAAATAAATGAATAAGTTAACTGCACCAAATACTAAAAGACGGTGTATGGTGAGGATACAGAGCTGAACACTGGCCTAGGCAAAATAAAGACAACTGGCTACCTTGAATAGAGTTATCTCAGTAGACTGATTGTATTACTCAGGGTTCTCAAGAGAAAGGGAACCAATATTTCACATAGAAATATGAAGAGAATTTTTGTGATGGACTGGCTCACACAATTATGGAGGTTGGGAAGTCCTACCATCTGCTGTCTGCAAGCTGGAGACCCAGTAAAATTAGTGATATAATTCCAGTCCAAACCCAAAGACTTCAGAACCAGGACAACTGATAGTGTAAGTCGGGTCCAAGTCCAACGGCTTAAGAATGAGGAATGCTGAGGTCCAAGAGCAGGAGAAGATGGATGCTCCAGCTCAAGCAGAGACAGCAAATTTGCCCTTCCTCTATTTTTTTGTTCTATTTGGGCACTCAAAGGAATGGCTGATGCTTACCCATGTTGGTGTAGGTGATCTTCTTTACTCAGTCTACCGATTCAAATGCTAATCTCATACAAAAATTAGCGGGGCATGGTGGCTCACACCTGTAGTCCCAGCTACTCGGAAGGTAGGAGAATCGCTTGAACCCGGGAGGTGGAGGTTGCAGTGAGCCAGGACTGCACCACTGCACTCCAGCCTGGGTGACAGAGTGAGACTCCATTTCAAAAAAAAAAAAGAAAAAAATGCTAATCTCTTCTGGAAACACATTCACAGACACACCCAGAAATAATATTTTACCAGCTATCTGGGCATCTTTGCCCAATCAAGTTGACAAATAAAATTAAGCACCATAGTGACAGAGAACAGAAGCCCTACTGGAGTGAGCTGGAGAGGGAATAAGAGATGACAAAGATAAAACAGCAAGTACAGATAACCATCAGGGTCATAGAACGAGGAATTGAGAAGTGGGATGGTGGCTGGAGGGCAACACTGGGCAAAGGGATGGGTCCAACTAATGATTTTTTTTCTTTTTTTTTTGAGACAGGGTCTCACTCTGTCACCCAGGCTGGAATGCAGTGACATGATCACAGCTCACTGCAGCCCCGACTTCCCAGACTCAAGTAATCCTCCCACCTCAGCCTCCCAAGTAGCTGGGACTACAGGTGTACACCACCACTCCTGGATAATTTTTGTATTTTATAGAGATGGGGTTCAAGCATTTCTCCCACCTTGGCCTCCCAAAGTGCTGGGATTACAGGTGTGAGCCACCGCACCTGGCTCAGTGAATGATTTTTTACGAACTTATCACATGCCAGGCATTATCATCTATTAGACATGGAAGAACTAATGTTGTAGAAAATGAAGGGAGTTGTAATAGTTGCAAAGTTGTGGAGAAGGTACAAGGGGATGAGATCTTAAAGCAAGAGTGGAGGCAATGGTCTTAAGTAAGAATGCGCCTTTTTTTTTTTTTTTTTTTTTGAGACAGAGTCTCAATCTGTCACCCAGACTGGAATGCAGTGGCTCTATCTCAGCTCACTGCAACCTCTGCCTCCCAGGTTCAAGCGATTCTCCGCCTTAGCCTCCCCAATAGCTGGGACTGCAGGTGCTCACCACCATGCCTGGCTAATTTTTGCATTTTTAGTAGAGACGGGGTTTCACCATGTTGGCCAGGCTGGTCTTGAACTCCTGACCTCAGGTGATCTGCCTGCCTTGGCCTTCCAAAGTGCTGGGATTATAGGCATGAGTCACCACGCTCAGCCAGAATGCTTCCATTTTAACATGAAAAAAAGGCATTCTGTGTAGATATAAATGTAGGTAGACTGATGGATTTGCAAGGAGGAAAATGAGTTGTTTTTCTTCAAATCATTTTCTTCTCAATTAAGTGTAAGGCAATTGTGTCAGTTGAGAGTCATCATAGAGGGAGTAGTGGAAATTTGAAGGGAGAGGAAGAGGTATGAAAGAGTCACATCAGAGAGTGGAAAGGTGACTATAGAAGGAAATAGAATAGAATTGTCTGCAATATTGAGTGCTCATCTGAGATTTGTGGTCATGGACATGAAATTAGTCGACTAAGTACGATTATATAATTTTTCTCCAACAATCAAATCAGTCATCAATCATCTCACTTCCAAGTCACAGAAATTGTAGTCATTTCCTCCCTTATGTTTTATTTATCTTCTTCTTAGTTCAGAGGGTACAATATTAAGCAGGAAATTCAAAACCAAGCCATTAAGGACAGCATAACTGATGCTACATGGTACTACTTGGAACATTCTCCCAGAACTTACCCCATTCTCCCATAGGCCTTACTGTACTTTGAATCAATTGCTATTGCTTTTTCACAATCCTTTATCGCATCTGTATAGTGACCTAATTTGCTCTGAGCAGCAGCCCTAAGAGAAAGAAAAGAGAATTTTATTAAAGGCAGTTTCCAAGGCACTAATTTAGATTTTTCAGGTACTAATAACACTACCTTTTTCTTGTTCCAATTTGTAGATCATTCCCACTAAATTTCTAAGTCAAACTGTCTAAGATAATTATGTAATAAAATGAAAACAAAACAAAACAAAAAGCTCAGAAACTTCTGTGCAGAAAAAAGTATGCAGGCTGCCTTTCACTGTTTGCTTTGCTATAGAAAGGACAAATATGCAAGTCATACAACTGGTCTACCCATTTATACCCTTTCTAGTTTGTCCAAACAGAAAAGTGAAAAAGCTAGGACATCTGGGCTACTATGGAGGCACAAAGAGTGAGTGATTGCTGTGAATGGCTACACAGAGGGTTGTGCTATTATGACTTTAACAGTAGGGTTAAAGTACAAGTAAAAGAGATATCCCAGTCCCTTGGCACTTTCTCTCATTCATTCATTTCTAAGGCCAACTAGATTTTATTTCTTTCAGTCTCCTAGAAGTTCTCATGATCTTGTCCCTCATCAAAAGGTTGAAGAGCCAACTTTGGAAAAAGAACACTTGCCTAGATCAAAATCCCTACCATTGTGACCTCTCCTCAATAACGTTTCCAAATAGGAAGAAACAGCTCAGAGGAGAAACAGGAAAGGAGAAGAAAAGCACTAAGATGGATGCTCAGAAGTCAAAGTGGGGTGCCAGAAACCAAGAAATAGAAGTTTCTTGGACCAAGGAGGGCCAAGGTGTGGTGACCACTTCTTCGATTTCTCACAACTACAAAGGAGAATGCTATGCTGCACAGCACCTCTGCCTCTACCACTGGAACTCCAAGACCTGGTACCCTTTCTATTAATTAAGGTAAAGAGGCACTTTCTGAAAATTTTGCTTGCAAGTCCAGAAATGAACTGAGGCTCCTTCATGTTCTTCAGTCTACAGACAAAAGTCTCATGCTAACCCAAGGTCTCTGACCTCATGTTCCTCTCCCATTGCAATGTCAGAAGCACTACTCTTGTTTTTGCTGCCTCTATTCTTCTTTCTTTACCCATATTTGTTTTTTTCTTTTGTTTTGTTTTGTTTTTTTCCTTTTTGTGGAGAACAGAGTCTTGTTATCCTGCCCAGGCAGGTCTTGAACCCCTGGGCTCAAGCTATCCTCCCGCCTCTGCCTCCCTAAGAGCTAGGATTACAGGCGTTAGTCACCGCACCCGGCCCCATGTTAGTTGTTTTAATTGTCCTTAAAAACAATCTTTTTGTTTAACCACCCAGTAAACCATCTCTCTTCCTTGAAATTAGTCAAAGGTCACATCTTTCAAGGACCTAGCTGGAATCGAATAAGCACACATGAAAACAATAAAGCTGATTAGAACACCACCTATCTCCAAGTATCAGTGAGGATCCTTGCTGATCCTCAATATTCTTAAGTATGTTCTAATCTCCTCCTATCAATCAAACTATAGATTAGGGTTATCTAATACTACTTTTATATCACATCTAGCTTATTATTATACTCTACAAATACTAGCTGTACATAGTAATAAATCAATTATTTGCTAGGTATCGACGAACAGAATGTGTTATGTAAAACCAACCCTGGATAGAAGAAGCTAAAAAAAAATACTGCCAATTCTGGAAGTTGAACCTGGGAATATAAACCTACTAAAATTTCACTAAAATTAAGCACGTTTAGTGAGAAGAAAAGGAGAAGAAATAGAAGTTTAGTTCTAATTAAGCACATTTAGTGGGAAGAAAAGGAGAAAAAATAGGCGTTTAGTTCTGATTAACAGGAAGATGCTGAGAAATTCCCATCATAGCCTAGCTTCCACAAAGCAGATTAACAACATGTGAGTATGGATCACTGACTTTTTCCCATCCAATGTAAGGATTCCAGGTCAATACGCATTCATTAAAGTTACACTGTGTACGGAGCACAACCTTCCAGACTAGTACAGATCTTTCTTTTAGAGTAGCTTAACTCAGAGAAAATGTTAAGAGACCAACCTTGCAAAGTTTATATACTTCCATGGGTGACACATAGATACATACTCCCAAAAAGGAGATTTCAAGAAAACTCGTATTTATGCCCAATTTGGCCTTCTAAGCCACAGTACTTTCAAGACAAAACTTTGTGTCACAGTAACAATAGGAATGAGACATTGCCTCAGAGCAAGCTCCTTTCTCTACCACTATAGAAAGCTCTTGTCCACACGTGATTTTAATCCATAAAGCCAGGAAGGTCCCTCAGAGGCCTCAAATGTTCTTGTCTATTCTGCCCGGTTGCTTGAAGGAGAACATTTCAGAGAGTGAAGTAATGCAAGCAATTAACTGAATGACAATGGAATCCTACCAACTCAGGAGGTTTTTTATTATTGTTGTTGTGTTTGTTTTTTTGAGACAGAGTCTTGCTTTGTCGCCCAGGCTGGAGGGCAGTGGCACAATCTCGGCTCACTGCAACCTCTATCTCTCAGGTTCAAGCGATTCTCCTACCTCAAACCCCCAAGTAGCTGAGATTACAGGTGTGTGCCACCATGCCCTGCTAATTTTTGTATTTTTAGTAGAGACAGGGTTTCGCCCTGTTGGCCAGGCTGATCTTGAACTCCTGACCTCCAGTGATCCGCGCACCTCGGCCTCCCCAAGTGCTGCGATTACAAGCGTGAGCCACCGTGCCAGGCCAGGAAGTTGAATCTGGGATTACAAAATGGCTAAACCAAATTTCATCTAAGAATTAACATTTATTGAGAGAAAAGGAGTTAACGGACTAAGCTTTGAGACAGATTTTAAAAATAATTTTATTATATATAATAAGCAGAGCCACCGGAAGAAAGAAAAACTTGTCCAGAAACGGAGCATGAGATATATACTAAGTCCAGGTCTTATATCTAACTTCATAGGCAAGGCAATACTATCTGCAAATTCACAGGCCTAGTGTTTGATCTATCACTGATATCTGATTCTGGACATCTGCGAACGGTGGTTTTATAGAATGCCTCAATCTCATCTCTTTTCTGTCAAGAGTCGCACTTTCTAATCAGTGTATGTGTCTGCACATATGCACAGAAACATGCAAGAAGGGTAAAAGGGCTCATGGGAGGATGGAAAGAGAAAGTTTTGAAAAGGGAATTCAGAGAAAGAACTACGTGGTTTTGAAAAAACAACAAATCTGTTCCTAAACACTTGCTAAACACCTTCAGGAAAGTGAAAGGCAATACTTGCCTTTAGATATCTGATTAGCAATTTTTAAAATATAATCAGAAAACGACTCCTCTATACATAATACATAGGACTTAGCATATTCTGAGCATCTGTAATGTTACATAGCAAAAGTTTTTAAAGAGAACAATAATACCATATGGATTGTATTTTAAGTCGTTAATATATGGCTAGATTCAGGATTTAATGTTAACTATTTTTAATTGTATTTCTTTTCTTTTCTTTTTTTTTTTTTTTGAGGCGGAGTCTTGCTCTGTTGCCCAGGCTGGAGTGCAGTGGCGAAATCTCGGCTCACTGCAAGCTCTGCCTCTCAGGTTCACACCATTCTCCTGCCTCAGCCTCCCGAGTAGCTAGGATTACAGGTGCCCACCACCATGCCCAGCTAGTTTTTTGTATTTTTAGTAGAGGTGGGGTTCCAACATGTTAGCCAGGATGGTTTCGATCTCCTGACCTTGTGATCTGCCTGCCTCGGCCTCCCAAAGTGCTGGGATTACAGGCGTGAGCCACCATGCCCAGCCTTTTAATTGTATTTCTTTGTTTAGTTAAAATTTATCTTTAATAAATGCATATTCATGCCTTCCCAAAATACTAGTCATTCTACAGGTACACATATTACCATATATTAAGATTATCTAGCAAATCTAAAGTAAAAACACTTATCTGTGTACCTAAATCTGACTGTAAATTAAGGATGACAACTATTCCATCTACTTTGCACAGAATCTCAGAGCAATCAAGGACCATTTATGTGATCTGTTAACACTTGCTATATCATATCTACCAAAAAAACTCTTCTAAAATGACCAGGAACAATACAACACAAGTATGATTATTGTTTGATATGCAAATCTTTCAACTCAAAGTTTCCATAATGTCTCCTGCCCTCATAATTATAAACCAATATAATTGGTTTATAATACCAACTGAAGGATATAAACCAATTATATTGGTTTATAATACCAACTGAAGGATACTGAAAGATACAGCGAGGGAGTAAAGCTACACTACTCCATTTGTTCTTCTCTAAATATTTCTACTTAATTCATTCAACTAATATATCTATTGAGGGCCAGAGAATGCACACTTTTCTAAGAATAATGGATACAGCAATAAGCAAAATAATATTCCTGTCCTTAATAGCACTTAGATTCTAGTGGGGCCATGGAGGGTGAGGAGAAGTCTGGCAGACTACAGAGAAAATGTGGTTTTAGGGCTCGTTTTCTAGGTCTAGTTTTCTGTCAATCTTTCTTCATATAGCATGACTGAGGCCCTTACTTCTCAGACTAATTATAAAAATGTTAATATTTATTTAAAAATAAACACATAGTCCTTTGCTTCAGTTTAAAAAAATTAAGACGTGAAAGTATAGAGTTCAACAAACCAGTTTTGGTAGTTCATGTGAAAAAGTGTATGAGTTTCTCCGACTTAATACTCACTACAAAGTAACAGCAGGACAAGAATAACCATTAGAAGAAGAGCTATAGGATGTGTAACTTTCAAATAATTAGAAAGAAAAAAAAAATCAAAACAATAGAAGGGAGGGAAGTAGGGGAGGAAAGAAGCAGCCAAGAAAGAGGATGCTTAAAAAGAGCCGGGTGCAGTGGCTCATGCCTGTCATCCCAACACTGTGGGAGGCCAAGGCCAAGAGGATAACCTGAGTCCAGGAGTTTGAGACCACCTTGGACAACACAGTCAGACCCTGTGTCTACGAAAAATTTAAAAATTACCCAGTTGTAGTAGTGTACACCTGTAGTCTCAGCTACTCGGGAGACTGAGACAGGAGG